TATAGGACGCTGCAAATATAGGACACCTGTCACTGACGTCGGGTTACCTTGGGCCGTCTTTTTACATTAGATCACAATTCCGGTATTTAACCCTGGCCGGACCGATTGGTTTTCTACATTGACCGGGGAGGGTTGGTACAACTCCCTCGCCGTTTCGCCTCTAATTGTGCTAGAGCCTCGCGAAAAAAACAAGCTTTTGTGCCGTTATAAGACGCAAAAATTAGGTACTACCCGATTTTAAGGTCTTAGGTCAGCCAGTGACCTCTTATGTCTGGTAAGTGCCACAAGGCACGGGCTCGTTTTTAGGTTAATTACTTTGCCAAAAATGGTCGCACTGCCGCGATTTTGGCATAATCGTGTTTGTCTAGCTCAGGCGCGTTGAATGCTTTACTTGGTGTTCGGGTGAAGTCTACTTAACTCTCGCCGGCACAGGCCATTGACGTCCTTTTGCGTCAATCGACGGCACAAGGCGGGGGGGGGGGGTTGGTACGACCCCCCCTCGCGTTTGGCCCGTGATCGAGCTAGAGCCTCGCGGAAAAAACGAGCGTGTTGCCCGTCACGAGAGGAAGCCGATGATACCCAATTTTAAGGTCCTAGGTCAACGGGTGACCTTCCAGGTCAGGTCAATGACCCGAAAACCGGGGAAATCGGGACCTGTTAGAAAGTCGTAAATTGTGGCTGCTATGTGGTTTTCCGGGGTGCTGATCACGAATATCGTATTAGTTTTGATCAGAGATGATGTCTTTAAGCATTTAGACCAGGTCGGGCCAGGTCAGGTCAGGTCAACCGGTAGGGGTTGTGACGGGTATTCGTAATACGTGTCAACCGCCTCTGACAGCTTCGTAACATGTTACGAAGGCACCAAAACTACTTCGTAAATGTTCAAATGGTTGCTAAATTAGAATTCAGCTCCAAAAACTAGCCTAGAAACATGTAAAACTCGAAAAAGTGAACCGAGGTCACCCGAGGTCACCAAAGGTCAATGACCTGACCTGACCTTCAGGTAACCTTGACACCCATCCTTATGTATGGGAGCAACATCAAATCACATGTTTGAACGTTTGAAACCACGAAAAGCTTGCAAACGCGCGGCTAATGCGAGCCGACATACGCCGAATCGCGATTTCGGCCAAACATGGTCACGGAAAAGAGGTCACAGGCCAAAGGTCATTAGGGTCAGGGCCATAAAATTTTCAGGGTAGGTGTAAAATTGATCAATGCAAGGGTATTGAAAGTTTCGTCGCGATCGGCCGCTTTTTACGCGAGTTATTCGCGAAAAACCTTAGGGGGGGGGGGGGTTGCATCACCCTCCTGTGCCGGCGAGGGTTAAGGTGTTAACCTCGGGTCAAGGTCAGGTCGGAGCCCCTCAGGTCACGAAAATGGTTCAAGGAGGTCATATCGCATAGCATTCGATTCGGCAGGTCTTCCTGAGTCCAATGGTTGCTTTCCCGACTATCTAGCTCCATCTGTTCAGGAGTTATTGACGAAAAACTTACATGGTCTTAGTGACGTCATAAATGACGTCACGCAAAGTCAACAATGCTAAAGTCAAGCACTGGACCTTGCAAGGAGTGCATGAAACCATTCCCGGTGCCCGAATAGCAGCTCCCAATTTCCCTTGTTGACTTAAAGTGGTGCTAGATCCTGTATTATACTCAATTATGACGTCATAACTTAACAGATTCACGTCATATATTTAGTGCTTGACATCCAAATGATAGCTTACATATGACAGAGAAGGTATGCAAAGTTTTATGAAGTTTGCTTCACTGGTTGTGGAATAACAAGCAAAACACTTTTGCGGAAAGGCCGCTGGCCTCTCGCTGGAGCGTTTCCGACCAGTGTGCGTCAGTGACCTAGCCTCTCGGACAATGACCAGTCGGTGACCTGTATAGTCCGCACCTTCCCACTGTGACCTAATGACCTGTGACCTTGCCTCCCTTCACAGTGAGCTCTGTCAGCGGAAACTCGCCGGCGCGCGTGACCTCTGTGACCGCTCTCCGGCCAGACTTCAGCCGATGGGAGAACATCACAGCACTGCGAGGTGGCGTTATCGTCCGGGAGAGCGCCCTCGGCTCCGCGGGATTCCTCCGGCGCCGCAAACACTCGGTCTGAGAGAGAGAGAGAGAGAGAGAGAGAGAGAGAGAGAGAGAGAGAGAGAGGGGGAGAGAGAGAGAGGGTGGGAGAGAGAGAGAGGAAGAGAGGGAGAAGAGAGAGAGAGAGAGAGAGAGAGAGAGAGAGAGAGAGAGAGAGAGAGAGAGAGAGAGAGAGAGAGAGAGAGAGAGAGAGAGAGAGAGAGAGAGAGAGAGAGAGAGAGAGAGAGAGAGATGTACGTTTCCCGGCCGAACAATAGCAAGATATCGCCATTACCGCAGAATTGCAGATTGGCCATCTCATGTGTGCAAACAAAGCGAGCGGATGTTCTATGTCTTCTCCGTCACACACGGTATCAGGGATATGATGGATGTTGCCGTGTGTGATCGTCTTTTATTGATGATAGTTTCCAATTGACGGATATGAATATGGGTATGGGTGGCCATATTTTGCGATAACTGCAATTTAACGATTTATTGGCGGGCTATCGCCGCGTTCGCCGAAGGCCGAAGCTGAAAGGGAGCCCTGGTGTTGAGGCAATGAAACGTTATTTGTGTCCTTGCGTATGTAACGATCCAAGAGTATATCCATTTGGCCAGCGATGTGAATTGAAATGTAGTAAGGGGAATAGAAAATCCTATGTTTTGTTAATCGAATAATTGTAAATATGGCAGGACTCAGGAACATGAATGTGCTAGTAGGGACGTATAAGCGTTACTATTACTGCGTATGTACTATATACTACGTATCAATGTGACAGTATTATAACGTTAGATATAACGTCCACGTGTAATGGCGCGTCAATCATGTGTTACATGTAATGCGTAAAATATTCTGACGTTGTGCAGTGTGTATAATGTGTTCGTGTAAATCATTGTAAATGTATCTCTGATGATCTCGCCCTCCGGGCAGACCTGGTATTATGCTTTACATATACGGGTACGGCGTGGCGTCATGGTCATGACCTGTCCAGTGCAGACACGCCGAGAAGACTTCGACGACGTTCTATGAATGTATTGTGTAACATGTAAACCGGCGTATATGTGTCCTATCCTTTTAATACAGCCAGGCAGCGTTTGGAGAATGCTCGTCAAACCTTTGCTTTATGTGTTTATTTATTCGACGGTAGTGTATGCTAGAACTAAGCGTAAGCTATAGAATAGTCCATGGATGCGTCTTTCCTCGCAGGGGAGTTGTAACGTCTATTCTATAAAAATGCCAAACCTAGAAAACCTGATCCGGCGACCAAATATCGCTTTGACCATTTGTGGTGGACATCAGACATACTTGTAAGTTACAATGATCGATAGCTGAAATATGTATGTACAAATGTAGCTGTCTAGTCGTAAATCCGTTGTTTGACGGTGCAGCGAACTTATATGGATGTTAACAGTAAGTAAATATATTGTTATGCTGTCATTACCTGTTTTTTCATAGGCACGTCTTAATTTTGAATGCTTACATATATGTGTATTGTGTAGGTATCTAAAGGCCGAAGGCCAGTGGTCACTGTAAACCATTTTGCATTTAATAGCCGGTTCATTTAGTTGAAATTCAGCCAGTGCTGCGTAATCCTATTTGCGGCATTTGCTAGATTGGGCCAGGAGTTATGAAGGGCGACGACCCTGAGTGGACGGGAGCGGCCCTTCGCCCTCCCACCGCGGAGAGAGTTTGGGAGGCTTCTCCATGTCCGCTGTCACGTGCGGAGGGAGAGGCGGTATCGTGCTGCGACGACGGCCCGCAGCAGCGGCGGCGCCAGTGGCGCGAGAGGGAGGGTCTCAGAGGTAAGGCTGTGCTAACGGACAGCACCCACGGCACGGACTTCACTCACTGTACGAACGGTTTTCACAGCACGGCTACGTGCCGGTACTATTGGCGCTGTGACATATGGCGCAGACGGCGCTCACCGCACAGTGACTTGCCGGCGCGACCGGCACTCGAAGGATGACTGGCACTCACCGCTTCGTTTTTGCTCTTTGACATGACTGAAACAGCTGCGGGTAACATTTCAACCGTTCAAAACGTTCAAACAAATTCAAAGCGTGTTAATTCAAAGCTTATTTCTTGCCGAAAGTAACGGGGAAATACTACCGAAGTGTGCCTCCTCCTTTCGGGGACGCAAGTGATGACAGCAACGGTCATTCCGTAATCCTCCCCTTGCATGATACGTTATTTGTTACTTGTGTTATCTGCACGCGTACTCTGTAAGTCCTCTAGCACACACTGCGCAAATACAATTCAAACGCGAACCATAAAAGCATGCTTCTTCCCTTGGCCTCCACCGACCACATCGCATCCCCTAAAACATCACTTCTGCGGCCTGCAGCTCCAGTTGCCAAGCTAATGTAATGCGTAACCGGTTCCGCCCCGTCTTCCTTACGTAATTCAATTCATCTACCTGCACGGGAGCTGGCGGCGCCCCTGGCCCAACGGGTTCCCACTGGCGGCGGGCGGCGGCGGCGGCGGCGGCTGCGGGCAGTTCACTGTCGGCCGGCGCTGGGCGACGCGGCGCCACATACCAGTCCGCCCGCCGCGCGTGCTGGCTGTAAGACCACTACTCTGTCCGGATTCTGGACCGTGGTAACACGCTGTGAACCAAGCGAGGAGTGGAGCCGTCAGGACCGACTCAAGGCTGATCCAGGAGTAGTGCTGCCAACAGTGTTCGCTCTGGAGTTACACGGACAGTAGCAGGCAGAGACAGTGGTGATCCAGCGGTATAGACAGCGGTGACCAGCCAACATCGACGGCGACAGCGGACATAGACGGTGGTGAGCGACGGGCTGAGCGGTGGTGATCCATCGACAGGGCACTGGTGATCCAGGACCGAGCGTTGTTGACCGGCAGACAGGGCCGGCAGTGTCGATCAGCGGCGGCTTCCCTGCCGCGGCCACCGCCCTGTGCTATCGATGGGACGGCCGAGCGATGACGGAACTGCCGGTCCCGGCTGGGACCCCGGTGTGGCGAGCAGTGACAGCGGCGCCCAGCTGACCGGCGGCGACCAGAAGGCCTACAGCACGTTTCCGGAGGCGGGGTGCGGCGGCCGGCGGCCGGCCTACTCGCTGCGCCAGAAGCTGATGCTGCTGGTGTTCTCGATGGGCAGCCTGCTGGCGGGCTCCTGTCTGGCCATGATGATCCCGTTCTTCCCGCTGGAGGCGCAGCGGCGCGGTCTCTCGCAGACACTGACCAGCGGCGTGTTTAGCGTGTTCTCGCTCACCCAGCTGCTAACCTACCCGCTGATGGGTCGCCTGGTGACCGTCTTCGGCATCAACCGGCTCTACTGCGCCGGCATGACCGTCACCGCCCTCTCCAACATCGCCTTCGGCACGCTGTTCCGCATCGAGAGCGCCCAGTCGTTCATCGTGATGTGTTACGTGGTGCGCGTGTTCGAGGCGATGGGCACGGCGGCGGTGATCACGACGGCGCTGACGATGGCGGCCAACCAGTTCTCCCACAACACGTCCACGGCGGTGGCCGTGATGGAGACGATGAACGCCATCGGCCTGTCGCTGGGCGCCGCCATCGGCGCCGGCCTGTACCACCTGGGCGGGTTCGCGCTGCCGTTCTACTCGCAGGGCTGCTTCATCCTGTGTCTGGTGGTGCTGAGCGCGCTCTACCTGCCTGAGGTGGAGGCGCCGGCCGAGCAGCAGCGCTCCGACTTCTTCTCCATGCTGCGCGTGTTCGTGTCGGCCGGAGAGAACTGGCTCTGCTGTGCCATCGTGTGCACTACGGCGGCCATCTGGACCACCATCGACTCCAGCATCGCGCGCTACGCCAGCGACACGCTGGGCACGACCCCCTCTCAGATCGGCCTGTTCTTCCTGGTGGCCACGGGCGGGTACGCCGTCTCCAGTCTGCTCTGGGGCCGGCTGGCCGACCGGCTGGTCAACATCTACCTGCTCATCTCGGGCTGCCTGCTGGCCACGGCCTTCGGTCTGGCGCTGATCCCGCCGCTGCCGGGGCTCGGCCTGCGCCCCTCCTGGTGGCTGCTCGGCCTCGGCCTCACCGTGAAGGAGGTGTTCCAGGGCGGCGCCTACGTGCCCGTGCTGAACCGCATGATCACTGTGACGGTGCGCCAGGGTCTGCCGGCTGACGTGGCCACGCAGGCGTTCACGGCCAGCGTGTTTGGCACGGTGGCCGCGGTGGGAAACGTGCTGGGACCGGTGACGGGCGGCGCCGTCATCGACGCCACCAACTTCACCTTCATGGTGCGCTGCCTGGCGACGCTGACGGCGGCGGTGGGCGGCGCGGCCAGCGTGCAGGCCCTGCGGATCGCCTGGTGGCGGCGGCGCAGTGTCGGACGGGAGGACCCGCCTGCTGAGCTGAGCTGAGCTGAGCTGAGCGCTGAGCGGGCTGAGCTGCGGCGGGGGCAGAGCGGAGCTCATAGAAACACTCTGAGACGGGCAAGAAGCTGTGATGGACAGTGTGACGGAACTCGCGGAAGGTAGTAAGGAAACAGTAACCATCAAGAAACATGTGTAGGTTTGGTCGATTGCTTTTTATACCGCCATATACTCGTTATCGTACAATACTGACTGGTTTGGCTCGTTCATATCGACAGTGGCCTCGACACGACCCTGAAGCTATCAACGAATCATAGACCTCTCCATATCTCTGAGGTATATACAGAGGTCTATGGTCGAGAAGTGCCATCGACAATCAGTGCCATACTATTTAGACTGCAGTTATATGGGAACACCAAGGGCATCGGCTGCCACTAAGCCGAACGGGGACGCTCGAAGGTGCAGGGATATAGGCTCATGTTGCTTTTCTCGTAACATGTCTGTCATTCTTTCATGCCTGTTCAGCGTTGAGCTTAGACTGACTATATAACCCATTGTCATGAATCATGACTATAAGATGCCTCTTCGTTGATGATACGCTATGATATGCTGTTTTCATGTCGCTATGTAAACGTTTTTATGCATATCTGTATAGCATAAATAAAACAAATAATTTCTTTCCATGACTTATTGTTGAGACTGAGCGTGATAGCGTTATCGTCGTCAGGTAGGTAAGCACCTACGTGTGCTTAGGGTTGAGGGGGGCCCGCCCATGGCGGGTCAAACCCCAACCTCTCTTATTTCATAAAATGCTCGACATTTTATTAAATCATTGACATCCGTTTTCAAGAACGAAGATGGATCTTCTTGTAGGTACTTATTTTTTATCTCTAGTTGAGAGGTTGTACTTATAGAGACAAAAATATGGAGTCAGTAGAATTAAAAGTAGATAAATACTAAATATGATAAAATAGCAAGTGAGATTAACTGGGCGTTATGCTCCACTGGTATGGGCGTTATGACCCATGGGTGGGGCAAGACGTCCGTTTGCATTCCTCTTAATTTAGACGGCGTAATTAAATAACCACGCATGCACCATATTGAAGAAAGAGGAAGGGAGGCGAGACTTTTGTCATTTGGGGCGTGGTTTCATGCATTGATGGTATCTGAGTTTCATTTCAGCTCTAATTAATTTCATTTGTGTTTTCTTCTTTCGGACATTGCTTCGTCTCCTGTTGTTTGATTCTTAACCCGACAGGCGGTGCCGGTGGGCCTCTCGGCCACCTTCCGCGCGGTGGGGGGCATTTCCCCCCCCCGTATCTCCGAAACTACTGGGCGGATCCGCAAAATTCAAACGGCGTTCGAATGTCCTATCAAATATGTCGAGGGATGTCCAATTTTATTGACCTCGGAGTCACCGATGACGTCACAGGTCAGGTCAAAGACAAAATGTTTGGCCGTTCACGGGTCTTCTAGGGAATGCGCTATAGCATCGAGAGAAACGCATTTTATCGAAAATCAGCGATAGGGCGTCAGTTGCCTAGTACATATATTGCTATTGGAGGTCACTGATAACACCAGGTCAGGTCACAGGTCAGGTCACCAAGGGATAAACCCAAATTTACTAGGGCTGTGCGATGCATGTTTTATGGCCAATTTTTCATTTCCAACTCAATGGTGTTGGCTTTAAGACAATCAGGAACGGTTTAGGTCACTTTCTGGTGGAGGTCAGGTCAAAAAAGGTCGAATTCCAAAGTTGACATTTTTGCATAAACTGGGTATTGATTCGATGATAAAAATTTAGTTTGAAAATTTGACGTCATCAATTTTGAACAGTTTTTTCGCTATTACTTGGCCAAAAAAGAGGCATCGATCTAAAATTGGGTATGTGAATAGAAGTTGGTAGGGGTTATCATATATATTCGTTTTTTTCGAAAACGAAAAACTTTTTGGATTTGTTGGCTATTAGATTAAAAAAAATGTTTTGATTTTTGGGGTCAAATTAAAAAATTCCAAAATTTCGAGACTGCAGTTTAGTAGCCCTGGTAATTCTACACCTTTTATGTCTTAAAGGGACTATCCCACCTTTAACATGGGGTTTGAGTTGAGATAGCCAAGTTTGCGGCGAGGTTCAGAAACCACTATCTATCTAGGTTGCAACCCCCGCGGCCTCTTGGTGTTGAAGAAATTCGTTCCCTTCATTTGAAAATGGGCCTTGTACAAGGCCCTATCTTCAACATGGAGCGACCGTTAGTGTGACGTCACCTCGTTTAGTCATTCTGATTTAAATGGGTTTGTTCGTTGAAAAATCGCTTAAAACTTGGTCTGAACTTTGTTGTGGTGCCTACAGAGTAAAAAGAATCAGCTTTATGACAGTAATGTGGCCTGGGGAAGGAGGTAATTTTGGGCTGTGACGTCACGTATTTGAAAGTTTGTGTTTGGAATATGGGAAGCCTAAGATGTTTAATGAAAAATAAATGCCAGAACCGTGTTCCTGGTCATCCAATCTATAAAGTCGGGCACAATTTAACTGGTTTTAACAACATTTTAGAAGGTGGGATAGTCCCTTTAAACGTTTTTTTTCTGTATCTTCAAAGCTATAGGCCTGACAGCTCTTCCCGCGAAACTTTTTTTGTCGAAAATGGCAGAAATGACGTCACTCTGACGTCATTAGCGGCCAGCCTATCATAGCCTTTGGATTTTTTCACAATCTGTAAAAGTTACTCCCGGGAGGATACTGAAAGTTTGGTAACGATCGGCGCAGCGGTTCTGGACTCTGGAGATATATCGTGAACTAAAGAGGGGGGGGGCAAAAAAAATGCTTTTCCCCACCGCCTTGAAGGTTAAATGTATTAACCCTCGCCCCGTTGGGGGGGGGGCCATTTTGGCCCCCCCCCCTGTGGTTTTTGCTGAATAGCAAGAAAACGGCGGCGCGCAGCGCCGCCAAATTTTTAGGACCTTCCCGGGCATCAATTTCACACCTTCACACCAAATTTCAAGTCTTAGGTCACCTTAGGTCAGGAGTTATTGAGGTCAAACTGAGGTCATGTTCGAGCAAAAATGAGCAAAAAGCATGCAATCTTTAAACGCTCACCAAATCTACAGTTATCAAGCAATTTCAAAGTTCTTTATATGGTCTAGTAGACAAAAAGCGGCGCTACAAAACTGCTCTCTCGGATTTTCGAAATTTTGGGTTTTTGACCCAAAAAAATTCAAAAAATTGATTTTTTTAGAAAAACTTTAAAAAAATCCAAAATTTTTCCGAATTTCGAAAAAACCGGAATATATGTGATAGTCCCTGCGCTCTTCTATATACATACCAAATTTCAGATCGATATCTTGTTTTTTGGCCAAGTTATAGCGAAAAAACTGTTCAAAAATGATGACGTCAAATTTTTGAACTCAATTTTTAGCGATTCTAGACCTCGTACGGCAAAACAAAGACCACCATTGAACTCCCCGTGACGAGCTGCGTCGATTCGATACCCATTTTATGCAAAAATATCAACTTTGAAATTTGACCTAATTTGACCTGACCTTGACCTGACCTTGACCTGACCTTGACCAAAACGTTACCTAAGCTGGCCCCAAAGGCTGCCTGACCCACATAATCGCATTTGTCATGTAAAATGGACCATAAAACACGTATCACACGACACTTTCATAATGTGACCCCCCAGTGACCTGACCTCTGTGACCTGACCTGGTATCAGTGACCTCAACTAGCAAAATATGTGTTTGAAGAACATTTCCCCATCGATGATTTTCAATGAAATGCATTTTACTCGATTTTACGACGCATTTCTTGAAATGCCTGTAAACGGTGAAAATTGGACCTTTGACCTGACCTGTGACGTCATCGGTTTGACCTAGGTCAATAAAATTGGGTCACAAGGTAGTTCCCTGATAGGGCTATCCAACACCGTTTGCCGCTTGTCGCTAGGTTTCGTGGTTCTCGAGATCTTAGGGGGGGGCCAAAATGGCCCCCCCCCCCAACGGGGCGCGTTGCTCGGCAGAGCCCAACGGGGCGCGGGTTAAGTAACTGTCACGGAATAGGATTTTTAATAAACACAAAACATCAATATGTATAGATTTAGGTTATTATAATTTGAAAATAAATGTTTCAATGCGGATAAAACATTAAATAGCGCTACCAACTTTATAAAACACACTATATACAATAACATTACACACTACGCACTACACAACCCTTGCATTCATGGACACATAAGCAATTCACATAATTTTGTCGATACCTAACAAAATAAACCGCCCAAGCATTCACCAACCATCACACCAGACCTGAGACACAACTCATATTTCCTTAACAACGTAAGCAAGCATAATGCATACCTCTCGTATATTGACAAATGTTTGCCTTTTCTCACTGCCTGTACATTTCTGACGTCTGTACCTGGGCGCGCGGCGCCGCCGTCCTGACCGTTAGAAGGCAGGTCGACGGCCGGCCGGCCGGCCGTCGGCGCCTTGCAGCGGCGTTAAATGCCGGCGGTCGGTGGGTACCTCTGCAACATAGTGCCGCGCTCCGCTCCGCTGACCGTGCATGTCCGGCGTCCGGGCAGTGGGCGGGCAAGGACCGCCGCGCTGCAGTGGCCGGCGGGCAGACAGACGGCGGCGCGCTGCCGCGGAGCGAGCCAGTGCTGAGTGCGGTGTGGAGGGTGTGAAATTCCACGGAGGAAACAACGGACGGAGTGAGATTGCACGGAGGGTTGACGGCAGTTACCAGTGCGGTACAGAATATTGTATCCTCAATACCTGGTTAGGGCGCCGATGACCACATAGAGACAGACGCCAGGAAGGGAGGTGAGGTCCAGCCTGAGCCGGCTCAGCTGCAGTGACAACGTCGACCCGGCCGGGACAGGATCGGAGCGAGTGAGGAGGGACGGAGGACGGAGCTGACCCGGGACAGGATCGGAGCGAGCGAGGAGAGACGGAGGACGGGAGGACGGAACTGACCCGGGACAGGATCGGAGCGAGTGAGGAGAGACGGAGGACGGGAGGACGGAACTGAGTGAGCGTGAAGATACGGCCGTGGCCACGGCCGTATCCACACACCCACGCGTGGGTGTGTGAGCTGAGACCGTGAGAGGCGAGAGGCCGTGCTTATATAAATAACTCGGGGTAGAGGCAGTGGGGGATGAGGACTATGAAGAACTTGGATAACAATTAGGACAAAGTAGAGACGAGATAGTAAGGAAGACAGACGGAGTGTGGGAAGTATAGGACGAGCACGAAGTTGAGAAGGACGGATAATCGGGATAATGACGGATATAACTGTTTGACTATCAAGAACAGAGATAGTCATGTGAGGATTAAGTCGAGAAGAGTGTGACACCTGTCTGGGAAAACAGCGACGCCGGTGTCGAGTTAAAAAATGCGGCCGCCGATAGCCCCATGTCCAACGATGCCAATCCGCCACTGGAAGGGCTGTGTCAGGTAAGCACCGGTAAGCAATCGCCGATAGCTTATGTAGCTAATGGGACGATTTCATTATTTATCAATTCATTACTAACCTGTTGTGCTGACAACTTAACGCTTAATAACTTTTTATTGATTTTCAGGAGGGAAAGCATTGGCCCCTTCCTTTTTATTATGGTAAGCATGTATAGGACCTATATTGCATTTTATTGCAGGGCACCCATCTGCAATAAAAATGCAACCGTCATCTTCCGTTTCTCGGTTCGTTTGTAAAAACGCACCAAAATGCCTCTGCTGCAGGTTGTTTGCAGCGGCGTTGGCAGTCTGCTGTGTCTTTCTCGTCATAAATCAAAATGGTAAGAATTGAACGTTTTAAATTTTAATGTCCCTCCCACGGTGTTCGGTACATGTCCCGGCTTAGGTAGGTATATCTTATTTGAGTTGGGTCTAGGCTCTTGTTGTGTCAACCCTGGTCAATTCAAATTAAACTTACAAACAAAGTACTATAATAGTCCATTGGTCCAATTTTTATTCAACAAGTTCCTACGTACAGCGTCACTGTTAACCATAAGAGCACTATGGAAGTTCACTAGATGCTACCATAATTTTTTAAGTAACAACTTTATTAAAAAGAGTTTCAGGTGTGAGAAGATGTGTCCTTCCCAACTCGGTTGACTCTGTGACGATGCTTCAGTATCGTGTTACCCAGCCGCTGATCCCGTGTGCCGTCGTTGCAGTTCCCAGGGCCATTGACGGCGAGAGGAGTCGGGTGGCCTGTCGGCGGCTGTTCCGGCTCAGTCAGTCCCGGATGTACTGGGAGAACCCGTCACAGGACTCGCCGACGTCCTGTCTCGGCTCCGGCCTGCCCCCCAAACAGTCCATCCCGTGCCTGACGAGACTTCGCGAGCGGCGCGGCCGACCCGCGTACGTCATGTTCATAGGTGACTCTCGGGCGCGCATTATCTTCATGAAGATTCGTGAGACTCTGAAGCTGCTGTGGCGGCGTTACATCCTGCACGATACCTACCAGTCGTCCAAGAACGCCACGTTTTGGGAGCGCGGCCGGCGGCTGCGCTGTCCGCACGCCACGCCCATGTTTCACGGCACCAAGTACCTCAGGTGGGTGTGTCACCTGGAGGTGCTCAGTGACCTAGTGCGCGCCTCCTTCTTCTGGGCGCCGTACGTCGGTGCCGGCTACGCCGAGCGGCTGGCCGTGGTCGAGGAGGACTGCCGTAGCGGCCGGCCCTGTCCCGACCTCATCGTCATGACGCTGGGGATGTGGTACGCCAAGATGGCCATCGACCGGCCGCACCTCACCCGGCCGGAGCGGCCGCTGCACTTCCAGGCGGACCTGGAGAGCCTGGTGCCGGTGCTGCGTAACCTCTCGATACACTCCCAGCTGGTGTACCGGGTCGATGGGCCAGACTTTATGGACGGGTACGGCAACAAGTCGGTGGTGAACGGCGCTATCCTCACCATCAACGCCATGGCCACCGAGACTCTGCGCAAGGTGTGTGGGATCTGTGAGATGGGGAAGGCTTATGGCGGGGAAGGGGAGGTCACTAAAAGTCCGTTTGTGCTTTACGGATAACTTACAAAAAAGTATTATACAACAGACGATGAAGGATATAATGAATTATAATGCTTACATCGGTACGAAAAAAATTCAAGTGATTAACTCCTCATTGATTTTATGATCACGCTGTCAGATTTTACCGCTAGAGACACAGAAATTGAGAGCGAACAAACTGCCCTGAATGTCTGCAGGCACCGAGTTTGCAGCCGTGTACTGTGTCTGTGTGGGTGTGTCTGGTGCCGTGCCTTATACGGGATATGGTATTATGTAGGCCTTACAGTCCTGCCATCTACCCTCAGGTGCCTGGTCTGCAGCTGTGGAGTTCCTCGCTGGCCGAGACGATCCGGTTCCAGCACAGCGTCTGTCTGCAGCTGGCCGCTATCCACACACCCGTGCTGGGCAGGCACCGGGACCAGTGTCTGGACGAGAACCACGTGGCCGAGACAGTGCGGCTGTCGGCGGCGGCGGCCATCGTGCGGTACCTGTGCCGGGACACGGAGCCGCACCCGGCCGGTCACTGCTGTCTGACCTGACACGGAGCAGTACCCGACAGGTCACTGCTGTCTGACATAGGGGACTGACACAGCTGGTACTGAGTACTGACACCAGAGACACGGAGCCGCACCCGGCCGGTCACTGCTGTCTGACCTGACACAGACCCGCCAGGTCACTGCTGTCTGACATAGGGGACTGACACAGAGGCTGACACCAGCGATACGGAGCCGCACCCGCCAGGTCACTGCACTGCATGCACGGGTCTGATACCCAGCGACACAGGAGATTAACACAGAGGACTTACACAGGACTCTGACACAGGGTATTGACACAAGTCTCTGACACAGGATTGCGACACAGGACTCCGACACACGAAACTGACACCAACGGATCGGCGGATGACACCGATGACGCCAGGGGTTGAGACTATGCGGAGTGTCAAAAAATATCCCTACCAAATGCGGAATTAATACAAAACAGTCCTAATTCTGTGACCGATATCTTGTACTCGTATTCTTTGTGATCCCAGACTGCAGGCCGCAGGGTCATTGGGAGATAAGACGCGCTGCAAAGCACTGAGACTGACGCTTGCCCACAACTCACAGCTCGCTGATTTTGTGGGACGCCGTTTAGCGAGTTGTGACAATATGCTGGTCACAGCATATTTAGTTTGGTGCATGCTGTAATGCAATGCAGCATTTGTTCATACAGAAGAACGACCGAAAACATCGCCATGAATTGGCATGCCGAATTGTTGCACGCTTTATGTAACTTTATGTAACTTTATGTAACTTTATGTAACATGACATAACGGCAGCTGGTAGCAGCTCGTGTGGCTAGCATGCAACGTGCTACGGACGGTCATTTTTACGTCAGTCACATCCGATTTTCAAGTCACTTCTCGCGAATATCTACAAACGGTCAATAGGTAGGCATGCAATGCTACTCGCGTCGAATGCCTGCCTTTCTGAGTTGCGGAACGTCAATAGTTAGTTGCGAAGGTACCCCGAATAGACAAAAGAGAGCCTGCATAATACCATGAGTAAAAACATTGATGACAAAAATATCGAAACGTGATGACAGACTCGTAGACTATCGATATAATCAAATCCCAAATCCTAATGACAAATTATAACCGATTGGTTGGTCGGTTTTGGGTAGCCATTTACTGCCTTTTGTTTCATACTTTTTCGACAATATTTGCATTTTACGGTTTGAAACCCGGGGCTTCGCCACCGGAGGCCAGGAGAAGGGCTGCGGATGTCCAAACTCCCCAAACAATTTCGTTCTCTTATTGCAGCAATAGGTTATGTAAATAGGTGTATCTAACTAAGGGCGTGCATTATTGGTTCGGAACTTACGATCCTAACTTTATGTCATACTGAATTAAACAGGAGCTCCGTCACGGTTCTATGGTTAGATGGTACCACCCAAAAAATACACGCTCTCATATTAATTTATACAGATATAGGTGCCCCATGTTTCGTTTACACTTGCTGGAATGCTTGTAATCGGTCACAGGTGTGCTGACGCTGAGCGGTAACCGGACAAAAGATCGTAAAGCAGAAGATCGTATGGCAGAAGATCGTAGGAAGTTGATCGTATGCAAAAGATCGTAATGGATAAAGATCGTACGACATAATGCTCGTATGGACAAAAGATCGTATTCGCTAAAGATCGTCAAGGAAAATGATCGTATGCCAAAAAATTCGTAATGGATAAAGATCGTACGACATAATGCTCTAGTGACAAAAGATCGTATTCGCTAAAGATCGTCAAGGAAAATGATCGTATGCCAAAAAGTCGTAATGGATAAAGATCGTACGACATAATGCTCGTATGGACAAAAGATCGTATTCGCAAAAGATCGTCAAGGAAAATGATCGTATGTCAAAAGATCGTATGGCACAAAGATCGTACAGTATAACGTTCGTATGGACGAAACATCGTATTCGTAAAAGATCGTCGAGGTAAAAGGATGACTGTCACTGACTGAAGGATCGTACCAAGGCCCTCTGATCGTACGCCAAATGATCGTATGAGATAAAGATCATACAATCAAAATATGGTATTCATATAGTGCAGCCTAACTCCAGTGCATACAAAGCTTATACATTTCTGTGTTCGCGTATTAAGTGGCCGTCGTAAGCCACTTACTACGCCACTTACTCCCCCCCCAAAAAAAAACTCAACGGATCTCGAATCTTAGTTTTGACCACTTCATTTAGGTGCTGCCCTATTTTTTTTTTGCACATGGGTCCTGGCAGGTCTGTAGTGTTCCTGACAAGCTTGAAGTGCCATCGAGAGGCTGGTGGTGTCCCTGGCAGGTCCATGGTGCCCTTGCGAGGTCGGTGGTGCCTGACAGACTTGAGGTGGTGCCCCTGGCAAGCCTGTGGTGCCCCTGCTGGGCCGCTGGTGCCTTGGCCTCTGACAGGACTGTGGCGCTCCTGAAAAGCCTGAAGTGCCCCCGACTGGCACGTGGTGCACCATGACAGGCCCAATGTGTCCCTGCGAGGCTGATGGTGCCCTTGCCAGGTCTGTGGTGCCTCTGTTAGACCTGTATTGTCCCTCGCAATTCCACTCGCGGCGCCCGGTAGGGGAGGGTGGGGACTGGAAAGCAAAGGGTTACGGCACCACCTTTTGCTCCTAAAATGTTGACGATATTCCGCGACCACGATTGCAAAATGCAAATCTTGAAACAAGCTCTACAGGATTGTTATTGCTTTATCGATGGCTTCGATGTATTATGAATAACCCACTAAAAATAGTGCCTACAATATTATTGGTAACATGTGAAATGTGAGGGCCCTCTTTGGCATAGGGGGCACACCCAGCACACGGCACACCTATGCCTGTGACGCCCCAATGTTTTTTTTGTTGTTGATGAAAATCCACACGCTCTTGCATCACTCTGCTATCACTTTTATGTTGCTACATTGTACCGTATGTTTCATTGATCGTGCTTTATTTCTCGTGTACCTTTGGTGGCATAATAAACATTGTGTGTGTGTGTCTGTGTGTGTGTGTGTGTGCATCGAAGCCCATGGAAGTCACACTCATAAATGTGAATTTCTTGATATAAGTAGGTATGGACATGAAAATTTTCGAAGTTGGTGAATAACATGACGTCATAAATATTCCTAGTTTTTTATCTCGGATTTTTTTATATCCGAAGGTAGGGACTTTTCAATTAAAGGTAGTGTGCCAGCTTTCCTGGACCGTATGTAGTTAATGGCCCAGATAAGGAGAACCGGATTTTTAGAACTTATCCATACCTTCAAAACTCATGGAAACGTCTTAAATTCTTCAAATTTTGAGTACCCCAGTGCGAAATTCGCCCCGACGGGTTGTCGGTCGTACCCCAACCACATTTCACACCACTATGAACAATAAATGCACACACTGAAATCGCTATTACCGATATGCTCATCCAATCAAGTTTCGATAAACCCGTTCATCATCAGCTCCTGCGGTTTCGAACACGCCTGTTAGGTGGTGCGGTAGACCGCGCCCAAAGCCAGGGCCCCGGTAACGTGAGGTAGCCGAGTCAGGGCAGCGTGCGCTGACCCAAGCCGGAGCCGCGCGTCCTCCCGGTGTCATGTGATAGCCCGGGGCTGCCCGCGGGGATGCGGTAGACCGCGCCCAAAGCTGCGGCCCCGGCTTGGGTCAGCGCACGCTGCCCCGACTCGGCTACCTCACGTTACCGGGGCCCTGGCTTTGGGCGCGGCTTTTGCTCATACTTTGTGGTGCAGTGGTGGTGCGTCGGGCTGCGCGCTCTGACTTCGGCCAGGAAAAATGCGTCAGCTGATCATTGTCATTTCTGCCACTTGCGTGTGGTGAAATGGGGTTATAACTTATGAGACGGCTTTTTCATATCAATTATTTTACATAAAATCATATTTCAAACCATAAATAATGTTCGACAGCCAAATAAAAGAAACAATACCAATACAGGCTTACAGTTTAAGGCTCGACATTGTGTTGTCTACGATTAGACAGCTGATAACTCATTCCCGTACGTCGTATGGTCGTAACACTATAATGACCTTTGCTTATTGTCACATGTGCGCCGCATTCGCGATTGTTGCCGACGCCTGTTTGCAGGTGAGCCCACTACAGTTGTTATACATATCGAAAAACCGATAAACTTTTAGGCGAAAAAGGCACTATTCCAGGCCCATTTTTGATTTTTTTTTGCGATATTAGGTAAAAACAGAAGCTTCTTATCCTAGGAAAAATAAAATGGGAAATCTTTCAAAGGTGGCACACTACCTTTAAGAACAATCACTATTCTTTAGAATTGTGATTTTCTATTGGAAATCCCAACCTGAGCCAGGGCGTATTTTAACATGTTAACTGGGTCGGCAATTGCCGACCCAGTCACGGAGAATGCCGACCCAGTGACAGCCGTTTGCCGACCCAGTTGCCGCCCCCTCTAGGATGCAGCACGCACATGCAGGCTAGGTGCCGTCATTCATAGTGAGGCTGCTGCCCTCCGAAATGATAATGCCGCCTCTTAAAGCGAAGCAGCCGTCTATAGAAAATGATGATCCCGCAACTCAATGTGACAGTGCCGCCCCTAAATCTGTTAGTAGCCCCACTCAATGTATCTAATGGTGCCGCCCTTCTAAGCATCTGTGGAGCCCCGCAATGTGATGATACCGCCCCTCAAGAAGATGATGCCGCCCCTTTCAGTATCGGTGGCGCCCCTCAATGTGATGGTGCCGCCCTCAAAGTGCCGGTGGCGCCCCTGAATGTTTGTTTGTTTGTTTATTGGGGCTTTAGGGCGCGCCGACAGCAAAGGTCATTTTGCGCCGCCCCTGAATGTGATGGTGCTGCCCGCCAACGAGTCGGTGGCGCCCCTCAAAATGATGCTGCCGCCCCTTAAAGTGTTGGCGCCGCCCCTTATAGTGTCAGTGACGCCCTTCGAAGTGTCGGAGGAACCCACCAATATAATGGTGCCGCCCCTCTAGGTATCCACATAGCCCCTCATTGTGATGGAGCCGCCCCTCAAGCAGACGATGCCGCCCCTCAAGAAGATGATGCCGCCCCTGAATGTGATGGTGCTGCCCGCCAACGAGTCGGTGGCGCCCCTTAAAATGATGCTGCCGCCCCTTAAAGTGTTAATGCCGCCCCTCATAGTGTCAGTGACGTTCTTCGGAGCGTCAGAGGAACCCACCAATATAATGGTGCCGCCCCTCTAGGTATCCACATAGCCCCTCATTGTGATGGAGCTGCCCCTCAAGCAGATGATGCCGCCCCTCAAGAAGATGATGCCGCCCCTCAAGAAGATGATGCCGCCCCTTTCAGCATCGGTGGCGCCCCTCAATGTGCTGGTGCCTCCCTCAAAGTGCCAGTGACGCCCCTAAATGTGATGGTGTCTCCTGTCAACGAGTCGGTGGCGGCCTTCAAAATGATGCTGCCGCCCCTAAAAGTGCTGGTGCCGCCCCTTACAGTGTCAGTGGCGCCCTTCAAAGTTTTGGAGGAACTCAT